GGTGATTGACGTCAGTATCGACGGCTCGTGCGCCTCTGGGATTCGGGGGCCCTGGTCGCCCTTCTCGACACCCCTCCCCCTCCAGAGGGGTCTCAGTAACCTGTCAGCTGCGGACCCCAGCAGGGCCGCGAGCTATTGGCTGCTTCCAGCGCGAGGTCGCCGATTTTTGTCTCCCGGACTCTGGACCCCGAAGGGCTCGCGGCGCAGACAGGCAGCAGCGCGCCGCTGTGTTGAAGACTCTGGGATCCGTCCAGCTCTCGAGAAGCGAGCGGCTCGCCCTGGTCCAGTCCTGCCCGCGAGTGCCGCACCCATGAGAGCCGGAGGCGAGGCGGGCCGGAGGCTGCGGTCTTGCCTGCTGCTCCTGCAAGCGCTGTCGAGCGCGGCGGACCTGTGCACCTGGAGAGGGAGGTGGGTCCTGTCCCGCGCGGGTCGGTGGCGCAGATGACACCTGTGATGCGCCCCGCGTGGCTGCCGAGTCGCAATAGGACGCTCTTGAATGTGTTCAGGTGGGGGGCTGCGTCAGCACGCGTAAGGCTGCAAAGGAACAAGCGACGTTTATTCCAGCTGGGAAGAGAAGAACAGACCCGAAGAAGCTCCACAGCCGAAACGTTGTGTTTCCTTTCTTCTCTTTTCAGCTGGAATAAACCTTTACTTGTGCTTCGGAATAGGACGAATTTGGACACTGAGAAAAAAACGTGTGTTGAGGTTTCAATGAAATTGCGTTTTTGATGGTCGCTGTATCCGAACGAAAGAGATGTATGTGGAAAGAAAGATATTCTGTATGGATCTGATCGCACCTTCAGCCACATACGTGTTTGGCTGCAGACATACAGTATGTTAAAGCACAGCATAGGCATGTATACCTTAGTGAGATGGATTCCCTGAGATCAGTTTCAAAATGCAAGACGTTATCAGAATCCTCCTTGCTGAGTTCCTCATCATCAGTTCTCAAAGACCAGCGGCGATCCCGCCGTCTGTGAAATCCGATTTCAAACCCAAACAAGAAACCAGCACTGGTTCTGACTTATCTAGCAAGAAGTCCCGGCTCGGTCCAAACGCGCAGATGCTCTCCTGGGTAGCAGCAGGGCCTGACTGGAGAGTCGTGTCAGGATGTGCAGAGCTCAGTGTGAAATGCACTTAGCGCCGTGCTAACGGGCTCCGCTCTGGATGGTCTGCATGCATTACAGGGTTTTCAGAAACATTCACGAGACACTAACTCCTCTCTCTCCCCCCGCCGCGCGGCCAGCGGGCTCGTGCGCGAGCCCCACGCCAGGGCGGTGCAGCAGGTGCTTCTGCGCTGCACGGAGGGCGCCGTGGAGTGGGTGTACCCCCGGCAGGCGCTGCGGGTCGTCCTGCAGCCCAACCTGGCCTCCGCGCGCCCCTACACCGTCTGCGTCAAGCCCTTCCGCGGCTCTCGCGGTGCCAGCATGCACGTGGAGAGGGCGGGCGAGCTGGAGCTGCTGCTGAGCGAGGGCGCGCGGCCGGCGCGCGCGCACTGCTTCCGCGCGGACGGGCCGCAGCCGCCCGCCATCTTCCTGCAGGCCAGCCCCCAGAGCGACATCGGCCGGCGCGCCGTGGGCTTCCAGTACGAGCTGCTGGGCAACCGCAGCTCCGCGCCGGACCTGCAGGACAGCGTCCTGCAAGGTGAGCTGGGGGGGGCAGGTGTCTGGAGTGGCCGTCAGGAGTGGGGTCGGTGGACAGTGGTCAGTCGGTAGTGGGGTCAGTGCCCCCTGGCCCCTGGACGGGCCCCCCGGTGTGGGAGAGAGGCGCAGGCTGTCCTGCTGTGGGTCACAGGGGCAGGGGCGGGGGGGTCTGGGGTCGGAAAATGAGTCTGATTCCTGCCGCAGAACTGACTCCCGACCGGAGCCCTGTGTGTCCGGAGCACAGTGGAGTGGGCAGGGAATGGAGTCCCAGGATTCCGGCATTCCTGCAGGAATTCCTGCCTTTCCAGAAGCGGTGTGTGGGATGATGTCATTCTGCATGGATTCCAGAGGGCTGAGGTTTTTTTAATGTGTGGTGTGGTGTGGTGTGGTGTGGGGGAGGGGTAGATTTCCCCCCCCCCCACACTCCCCTCGACCCTGCCAGCGCCTCCCGGGGGTGGATACCTGCTTGCTGGTTGCTGGACAGCTGGACAGCAGGCTGTGAGGCTCCGGGTGGCAGGGGCTGATCTGGGCGGCACTCGCGCTGTCTGCTGTGTCTCACTCGCGCTGTCTGCTGTGTCTCACTCGCGCTGTCTGCTGTGTCTCACTCGCGCTGTCTGCTGTCTCACTCGCGCTGTCTGCTGTGTCTCACTCGTGCTGTCTGCTGTCTCACTCGTGCTGTCTGCTGTCTCACTCGTGCTGTCTGCTGTCTCACTCGCTCTGTCTGCTGTGTCTCACTCGTGCTCCTCCTCTCACAGCTGCGTGCCGCCCCTGCAACAACACCGAGCTGCTCCTGGCCGTCTGCAGCAGTGACTTCGGTACGTCTCCCCGCCGCCCCTAGAGCAGCACAAGGGTCCGAGCTCGTTCGGCCCAGCCAGGGCCTTAGCAGCTAAAAGGTCCAGGGATCCTCTCCAGTTTCCTGTCAGACGCCCGGGTCTCCACTTCAACTGCATGGCTGGGCAGCCTGTTCCACACTCCCGCCACTCCCTGTGTAAAGAAATGCCTCCTGTTGTTGGTTTTCAATGTTCTTCCACTAGAGTCATCTGCTTCATGTCGTCTTCTTCATCCTGAGTTTGCTGACTCTGTTGATGCCTTGGAGCGTTTCAGGTCCCTCCTTACTCTTTTGTGACAAGTTTAGGACGCGTCTTTGAGCCCAGGAATGCATCCGGCTCCTCTTCCAGAGCTACTGACTCCAGGGCAGTGAGACCTTCTTCTGGTGTGACGACTGAAACTGTATTGAACATTCTCAACGAGGTTTATCTAGGGAACCGTTTAAACGCAATATCCCAGACTGATTGGCCTCAAAAGTGCCCAACAGACTGCACAGAGCTTGAAAATACATGCAGATACATCTAGAAAGTAAAAAAAGTCTGTTTTTTGCCGAGAGGCAGAGTCTTTGGGTGCGGAGGGCCCTCGAGTGGGGACCCCTCGCAGGTTCCAGCTCCTGAAGTCCCTCTCTGTGTCACAGGCCCGGCGCTCAGGGTTAATTGCTATTGACGTGTTTATGGGGCGTTGACCTTTGCCCTTCTGAAGAGCGGGAGTGTTTGGTGCTCACTTTGCGAGCCGGCGGTGTCCCAGACCCCCTCCTGCGAGCGCCGGGCTGACAGATGTGGGGGCTCAGGCGCACAATGGGGGGCAGCAGTGCTCCGGACGCCAGTGGGGCAGAAGAACCGACCCTTTGACCTGCCTGACCGCCCTCCCCTCCCCTCCCCCCCAGGTCACGGCCACCCCCCTCTCTGACCCCGAGAACCAGTCCTGCCCAGGCTGTCCCGGGCCCAGCGGGCTCCGGCGGCGCTGGCAGACCCTGCCGGTCTTCCTTCCCGATTCCCGAAACCGTCCGTCCTCGTCACGTGACTTGTAGCGACATAGTGGTCAACTCTCAGAAGGTGACGGCAGGCGCTTGACCGCGAGCCTCCAGCCGCTGCTCTGAAAGGGACAGTGCTGCTCCGTTATTCCTGTCGCGCTCGTTCGTTGTTTTCCAGACCCGCGCGCTGCTCGGTGTTCTCACTGCTGCGCTGTGTGTGTTTGTGTCTCCTGCGACAGGGACGCCACCCCGCTCTGTGCTGCCACTTTCCAGCTGTCAGGTTAAAAACCCGAATGGGATCTGGGGAATGGAGCTCTCTCTGACTCTCTGTCTCCCTCGCAGTGGCCAGGGGCTTCATCCTCAACGTGTCCCACGATGCCGAGCGCCAGACGTCGCGGGTGGAGGTGGGCGCCAGCCGCGTGTACCGGCAGCGCGGGGGGGTCTTCGTGCCGGGGGACGCCAGGGGGGCCTGGAGGGGCCACGTCCAGACCCTGCTACGCTGCGGGGCGCGGCCGGGGGCCGGCGAGTTCCTCTTCGTGGGCGCCGAGCACTTCGGGGAGGCCTGGCTGGGCTGCGCCCCGCGCTACGGGCACTTCCTGTCGGTGTACGGCGCGGCGCAGAGGCGCCGGGAGAACGCCTGCGAGTTCCCGCTGGACTGAGGAGGGCTCCGACTCGGGGTGCAGGACGGCCTTGGGGTGCCCCTTCTTCTCGCCTGTGGGAGCCGCGCAGCAGGGACCTGACGCCCCCTGAGCCGGCCGCCGTCGCCGGGCCCCGAAGCTGCTCACCGGTGTGTCTGTCGGCCCCGAGGGGCCCGGTCGTCACACTGCTGCTGGACAGACACCGGGTGACCGGCTCTCCCGCCTCCGGCTGTCCGACTTCACAAGCACCTCCGCGGAGTCTCACTCCTGTCCGCCGGCCCGTGTTTCACCGCTGGTTCTGCGGAGCCGAACGGCTGGGTCGACACTGCCGGGGGGGGGGTGGCCTTTGAAAGCTCCCGCAGTGAGTGCAGGCCTGTCCCCTCCTGCCTGCCAGTGAATCTGCCGGCTCTTCTCTCCCCCCGCCCTCGGGTGACCCCCAGCCAAGTGCAGGTCTGAGCAGCACCTACAGCTGGGACCTCAAGATGCAATTGGCATTCCCATTTGGGAAGGTAGTAAGAAATAACTAGCTTTTTTAACCCTTCGTAGTTCTACAAGTTTCCAGAGCGTGTGTGGCCAGAGTCGAGGTGAAACACGAGAGGCACAGCGCTGGGGTTTGGAGAGACTCCGCTCTGCGGTGCAGTTCTCAGGGTGTCCAGCAGGTGGCAGACGGCTGTTTTTTCAAGAACGTTTTTTAGGAAAGTAGAGTCGAGTTTTGTTCCGTCTTCAGTGCTGTGCCCTTAGTGTCTTAAAGACCTTTAGAGATGCCTTTTACTCTATTTCTTTAAAGAGATTCACTCTGCAGCCTCCCTGACGACTATTCATGCTTAACCCTTCAGTAAAGAACGTATTTAGTGCTTAACGGTTGTATCTATACAATGATATGCGCAATTTGGAGTTCCTTTATCATTGTAATTCTGTGGATTTCTGTGTGTACATTATGAAAGGTGAAAACTGATTATGATGTTTAGAATCTCACTAAATTAAATTATGACTCCGATACTAACGCCCCTCACACAATATAGTGGAATTCTATGCATAGATGTGTATTAATTTAGTAATGTGGTGAAGTTTTGAGTGCTGTAGGTCTACAGAGGAGGTGTACACATTGTTTCGACACAGGATTGTCACAGAGGCACAAGTGATGTGGTTGATTTTCTCCCTGCTGCCTGAGAGACGAGAGGATTGGAGACAATTTCCTGAGAAATCTCTGTTCTTCAGCTCAGTATAGCTGAGTATAACCTTTTCACTGTTCTCGTTTTAAAATACTTATAGAGATTTGTATGACACTGCATTAGAAAACGGCCAAAAATAAGTGTATTGTAAAACCTGGCGTTTTTTTACACACCTTAATGGATGTTGTGACATTCTGTAAACTGATTAGTAAACTAACGACATGGCTGCAGTAATTGCTCACGGGCTCCTTGATCGTTTGTGTGGCTTTTCTCCTTCTCTTTGAACCCGAGAGCTCCTCGATCCCAAACGAGGTCTGAGCGCTCACCTGCTTGTTAGAGATCTTCGATCCCAGAATCTCATCGTGCTTGCTAAAGAAACAAGTGTCCGCCTCAAAACCTTGTTCCTGACACTGTAAGTGTATCGGGGGGGCTCTATCTTACTCATGATCTATTTGCTGCTTTTATAATTGAACTAAAGCAGCTTAATTGTAAAATTCCTGTCAGCTCAGTTTCCTTTTTCTGTCTGAGCTGCGCTAAGAGCGTCGCAGGTTTACAGCGTCGTCCTGACGGGCTGATATTTCTTCTTCTAGATGATCATTTAAACCGCAGACAGGTTCTGCACAGCGGAGTTTTCACACAGAGACCAGAAGTAGCGGGAAAAAACGAGGTTAAAAGCGACCAGCTGTTCTCAGTAATATATGAAGGCAAAAGGTGTTCTGTCGACTTTATCATGTGCGCAGTGGTTTAAAAGGATAATAAATTGCAAATTGTTCGGCGCTAGAAAGCAGCTCAACAGTGGAGGACCTGTTTGTGCCGGCTGGTCCCGGCCCCTCGTGCGGATAATAGCCACTCTTTTATGTAAATGGAATTGATGTACCGTAAAATGATATACAAATGTGTCTATGATAGAAAGTGCAATTGAGAGACTGAATAAACCCATTATTTAGCATGTTACAGCATCTAAGGCCGGCCTGGGAAACAGAGAGCAAGCAGATGTGATGGACTCGGGGCCGCTGAATGCACAGTCCTCCAGCAGAGCACGATTAATTGACTTTTAAAATAACTTTCTTTTTCTCCCGCGCTTCTACTTGGCTGAGCAGGATTCACAAATTGCTGTCTTGAACTTTTTATTGGGACTAAATAGCTGCCAATGAAAGTGTAAATGACTTGGGGTTGAATAGGCGGCGCACAATGGCCCGACCGCGACAAGGCGCCGGCTGACAGAGCGCCCATTGTGGCGGGCTGTGTCGCCGGCGGAGCGGGGCTCATGAATCTGTAAAGAGCGCTTCAGCAGCGGGCCCGGACTCCGCTCCAGCGCCTTTGTTGCCTTTTCTTCGCGAAGGAGAAGTTATATAATTATCTGACGATTTATTTGCTCCGCGCAAAGGCAAATCTTTCTTTATGTAAATAAAGTTTCTCCTAAAAGGAGAAGCGGTTTATTGGAAATAGCCTGGTTTCACTCGATCAGAATGGCTGTGATAAACAAAGAGGTTTATATATAGGATATATATCTCTGCGATTTATATATATATATAGGATATCTGCCTCTGCTGTGCAGTGATCACGTTCCACGTGTCGCTGCTGTTTGCAAACCGTTTACTCTTCGACTCCTCCGGCGCCCTGATTTTACTGCGTTTTCCTCCCTGGCGTTTGTCCAACGGCAGGCGGGTCACGATGCTTCTGAAGAACATCCGCACTCACACCAGTCTGAAGGGTGAAAGTCTCGACTCGGTTGTCGTTTAGCGTCGCCACTGATCTGTTCTTAAAGGGGACCTGCAGTGCCATTTTTATATTTCGGGATCAGAAAGAATCAGCATTGTTCGTGCATTTTAAACCGCGATTAAAGTATAATGTGCACAGTGACTCGTAAAACCTCCACTTGACATCATGAAACTGACCAAAGTTCAGGCATCTGCAGCGCCACGCTCTGCGCGTCAGAACGAGGGAACAAAACCTCCAGTGAGGTTCACACCGCAGAATACAGCTCTTTTAGCTCTAATTTGAAATGCCATTTTCCCCTGTACCATCAATTAATTGATTAGGTTGCCGAGATTTAATAACCAGTCTGAAAAAAGGGGACTGCGACTCCGCTCCAGCGTGTTGCGGCACTAGCGCTCAGCCCACTCACGACGACTCGAGGAACTGCAGAAAAAAAGAAACCAGAACATTCCAACATTTAAATGATTTATTGTGTGTCCATAAGAATATATTTAATTTTAATTAAATCATCACGTACACGCACAATTCACGAAGACGATAATTCAATTCACGTTCCCCTCATGCCTGGCAAAACAACAATTACAACAACAACACCAACACGTTCCGGTCTGAAATCAGAGCAGCACGCAAGATGCCGGGAAGAGGCTCCAGGTGCGAGAGAAGGAAGTGCTGCGGAAGAGGACCGTGACTTCCGGTCGAGCTCACCGCTACAGCTCCGCGCGGAGCCGCAGGTGCGTCTTCATGGACGTGAACGACTTCATGAGCCCAGGAGACAGTGCTGGCACGACGTGAGTCACGCAGCGGAGGGCGCTAACGGAGAGCTTGACACATGCGGCGGGGTATTTAAAACAGAGGGCTTGTGTGCACACAAACTCCCCCCCCAACACAAACAGAGATCTACTCGGCAGATCGCTCTTCCCAATGCGCGACTCCTGCAGCATCGAACCGGGGATGCTGGAAGTCTGTTGGAATCGAGTGTCGTCACGACGATAACGCGGTGGACAAGAAAGCCGATGCTGTGGAGGCCGTTTGTGTTACTGGGCCCTGCGGCGCTTCAGGCTAAGTCTGCACGAAACAAGCAACCGAGGACGGCCACAGCAATGAGAGGGAAAACAAAACGCCTGTGTTCCCGTCCGCAGAAGTCAAGTGACAGCCGTTTTTTTTTAACACGGCCTCTTTAGGCCTGGGAATGACTTCAGAGGCCACAGCGAGGGGCCAATAAGCCCCCTCCCCTCCCCCGGTGTCGCCCCCAGACGGGGGTAATTGGGTTAACCGGAGCTCGGGGCGGGTTCCCACGGGGACGACCGCTGTGCCGCAGTACAGTACCGACCAGCACGACACCACCAGCGCCCGCTCGCCTCGCACGACACGGACCCGAAAAGCCGCAGAACTGCGTCAGCCGCATTTAATGGGCTCATTCACATCACGTCTGTCCGTCTCCCGTTGTGTAATTAGGTATAGGGAGGACGGGGCTTGCTTGCCACTATAACTCATAAGGACATGAGCTGGGGATACACCCTAGCAGGCTCGCAACTGCGCCACCTGCTGGCTGATTCTCGCCATAGCCCGGTGACTGACTCCCTGCATTTATTTCTGCAGGCGACAGTGGAGCCCGCGGTATACCCAACTCTCGAGCCTGACTGCAGGAACGCACGTACACGAGACTCTCCTATGGGGTGAAATACCTTTTTGAAAAGCCACAGAACAATCATTTAATGCGACTGAGCCTGGTGCCGCCTCAGAAACTACAGTGGTGAACTGCATTTTATTTAGTTCCTCAGCCTGTTAGAAAATAAAGCTAATGTCTGTCAAACTGGATACATGCCATCTCAGAAACAATGCACTGATTTTCCAGTGTTGTCCTGAGTGTGGGAAGTCAGTCTGCCTCTTACTGACCCAAGGGACTGAGGACAAAAGTGGGAATGACATAAAACACTGTTTTCCTACTTTTCTAGACACTTCTTCCCAAATCCCATGGCATTCTGTTGTATCCAGTACCTGACTCTTTCCTCTGCCAGACTATTTTCAGCTGGAGCTGTAATCTGTCAACTGAGATGCTGCCTGTTCATCATATTCCTTTAAACTCTCTCGCCCTGAACTCCTCTTGGTGGAGACAGACGCCAAGGAGGAGCTAACCCGAGCTTCAGGAGTAGAAGGTAAAGTGAGCAGCGGTTCTCTGGAAGAGGAAGGCAAGTCTGAGACCCTTATATCACACCAGTCTCCGCTGTCGGATTAGACACCTACAAACTGTCCATTCAACGGTCTCTCTAGCAGGCTTCTGGGTCAGCACTGGTGCGTAATGCTTTGTCTGTACTCTGTACAGAACTTCGGTAGAGCTAAATGGTGCAAGGGCACCTGTGAGATCACCAGCGAGTGCACCCAGACCACCGAGATCACCAGCGAGTGCAGCCAGACCGCCGAGATCACCTATGAGTTCACCTACATCTGTAAGATTACTGTAAATACCCTCATTAAAGTAACCACTATTAATAAAATAGTCACACCTCTCCACTTAATAAAAATGTTGCACAGCAAGAAAGCAGGCCTCAAGAAAGACTATGGATTTTAATTAAAAACAAAACCACATGCATACTGCTTTTTAAAAACCCACTGTTGCTCTTTTTAAGCTTGGTTTACTTCTCCCAGAGGCCGCAGTGCTGTGAAAGCTGCAAGACTGGATTGACCTGTCTTGACTAAAGAGCAGATTAAACCACAGGTGCTTATTTCGGGAGGGAGGTGCTATCGGGCCGCTCCAGCTAGGCGAGTGTATTTTCTCTGCTCCTGCCACACACATGCTGGCTCTTACTGCCTACGATCCCCACGGCACACAGCCACATCGCCATGCGACGGGCAAGCCCCTCCAAACCACCTGGTCCAAACCTGCACTTCACAGAGAGAGCTGCACACATGCGATCGGATTTCTCCCATGTGCTGAAGTCGTTTAAAAAGTTCATTCATGACAGGGGAGCCATGAACAGGGGTCCTCAAGAGAACTTCTGGACACGTTCTTTTTCCACCTGCGGTTCCTGAACTATCAGTCGCTCTCCTGTGAGAAGTGAGATCCGTGCGGCGTGGCCTGTGTTTTAGACAGACGCACATTACAAAAACTAAAATAAATGTATCTGATGGAGCGCAGCAGGTAAGTCAGCACGTGCTGCCAGTCAGCTCTTTTAAGCATCATGCAGGTCCGAAGAGGAAACGTGTCTGTTAGAACTAAAAACCCCTCAATACATTGTTTGTTAAGCAACAAATTAAGATACTGTATAATTACAACTTTTTAATAAGTGTGTGAGTATACTGTAAATTAGTCTAGTTAGTGACTGGAGCAGATAAAGGATTTTAGCTCAGGTCTTTTACCGATTTACACACTTTGCCAAAGGGATGGTTGGCTGTCAAATACTTCAGTGTGGTAAGAAGTGTCGCAGTGATGCAGCCAATTAAATAATTACCACTGCTGTGATCACTAATGGCGGAGGAAGGGAGCCCGGGAGACGCAGAGGCCTCCAGGAAGCGAGCTGGAGACCCCGGTGTCTACGTGCCGGTGTTCGTCAGGACATACGACCTGCCGTAGCCGGGACGCCCTCCTCCGCGGGCGAGAGCGCCGCCCTGCTGGCTCAGATGGCCAGCTTGCAGAGCGTGAGGGTGGTGCCGCTGGAGAAGAGCCAGAAGGCAGGGTACACGGCCTCGATGAAGCTGGCGGTGAAGGTGTGGATGGGGTAGGCGCGGTCGGCCACGTTGTAGAAGGTGGCGGTGCCCTCGTCGCAGTCCAGCAGCACGCCCACGCGGCTGGGGCTGGGGTTGAACAGCACGGTCTCGGCGCTGTCGTGCCAGGCCGACAGCTTGACGTTGAACCACTCCAGGCACCAGGACTGCTTGTTGCGGCCCAGCCTGCTGGACGGGCCCTTGCGGGCGATGCTGTTGTAGGCCAGGCCCACGGCGCAGAAGTTGCTGCTGGTCAGCTTGACCTCCCAGTAGTGGCGCCCGCGGGAGAAGCCCTTAAAGCAGAGCACCTGCGAGCACATGGAGAAGCGGGCCGGGCTGTCGGGGTACGAGGTCTGCTCCTCCGACACTGCGGCCCGGGTGAAGTTCTCCGACAGGACGAGCCGCCGGTGGGCAGTCCTGAGGTCCAGGGTGAGAACCGTGGCATCTGGGAGAAGCAGGAGAAGGCAAACCTCATGACCTCTGGCAGCGCTGAGGGAACCCAGGTCAGGGGTGAATCTGTCTACCTCATTCAGCCCTTGGATTAAATTCCTAATGAGAATTTAGGGCGCCTTGCAGATTAGCTAGTTACAAAGATCGCTGTCAACATGTTGTCAAAGAAATGAGCTGGCGGGAGTGGTGATTGGCTAAATCTGAGGTCGTTCTTACTATACAAACATTAATTGAACATAAATAAAATCTGCTTCTTCAAATTTTAGTCCAAATCTACAGAAATGTTTTTGGTGTCATCGTTTAGGGGAGTATGTAATGTGTAAATGGGGAAAAAAATCAACTTACGCTGCAGAAGATCGCTTCTACGGGCAGCTACAGGGTTGCTGAGTGGAGGGTCCTTCGTCAAATAATCTGCAGAGGAGGACAGTGCAGACGGGGGTAAGTGTTTACTGTGATTTATATCACATGCATGTTCTATATACAGGTAGTCCTCGACTTACAACCACTCGCACTTGCGACAGCCGTCCCCATAATTGTATTACTGTATTGTATATTATTTTCGTGTCCCGGCGTTCGGTCGTAACGTCTAACATTGATGACATCATCAGCCTGCGCGACACCATGCTGCCGCATGTTATCGTTCGGGTGGTCTGCGCGCCAGAAAGTGAGTGTGCTGGCGGTGCCAGCAGGAGAAAACGAAAGCGAATGACAATAGGTTTAGAAATGAAAGTGCACACAGTGGCTGCTCCTCCAGTGATAGTGCCTGCAGGAAGGAGTGGCGTGCAGCCGGCCTGTGGGCAGTGGTGCTCTGGGGCGGGGGAGTGCCCAAGGCCCTATCCCCTGTTTACAGTGCAACTCGCAGAGACCCCACCCTGACAGCGTCTCTCTGTGCGTCAGCTGATTCTGTCCCAGGGGTCGTGAATGGGGCTACAAGCAAGACCTGCCCTTCCGCATGCTCTGTTCCCAGAATACCGTCAACCTGTTTCCTGAAGGATCCGCGAGGGTTACCTTTCAGAGAGTCGTTTCCCACCAGCTGAGGAGGAGGTCCTGGGACAGGAGTCGGTGTTTTTTGGGGCATTTCTCAAAAACAAAAGGAAACGGAGATATAAAACCAAGGTACGACACTACTCCTGCCGAACAGACACAGCTGTGGCTCTGCTCTCACATGGGGAGATCTGCTGAGGCGTGTCGGTGCTCTGTGTGTGTTTGCAGATTTCCAGTCTGAAACTGTTCACAAACAGCTGCCCCTCCTTTCCTGGACAGTGAACTGCACAATCATGCAGACAGAATCGATGAAAAAGAAACGTAGGTCCATCTTGGATTTATGTGTCTTCTTCCGAATGTGTACGGTGAGAGTTTCTCGGACAGGGCCGAGGGTGAACTTACTCTCTTTGGGGCGCGGCGGCAGTGGGGTTTTGCTGGGTTCCTGGATCTTTGCTGCAGGAAAGAGGGAGAGAGAGCTGAGCCGAGTCTGTGGAAGGTCAGACAGGAGCCAGGTTTCCTCCACTATGCAGCTGTGGTGCTGGCAGAGTGAAAGGACAGGGCCCTGGACAGAGGCTGCAGGGCCTCACTGGGATGATGCTTATAAGGAAGATACAACTTCCACACTGGGGTGCGCAAGATGGAAAATTATTTCAGTTTTGGAGTAAAACTTGGTCGTGTGACAGGAGTGAGACAGGAGTGAGACAGGAGTGAGACAGGAGTGAGACAGGAGTGAGACTGGAGTGAGACTGGAGTGAGACTGGGGAGCCGTGTGTCTCAGGATGGATTGGGGTTGAAACTGGGAGTCATGTGTCGGGAGTGACTGGGAGTGAGACTTACTTGGTGGGGGTTTCTTTCCTGGTTTGACTTTCTTTGGACCTTTGATTGGTGTGGGATTTGCATCTAAAGAAAATATAAAAAATAGCAAAGTAAATAACTCTGAGTTCTGCAATGAAGTGTGATCAGCTCCGCCTACAACAGACTTTTTAACGTTGTTTCTCTATCTGCAGATCTGTTCTTGCAGGCATGGGGAATAAAATTCATTAAAAACAGAGATGTTGCTTCCTGAGCTTTATCGGAGTGAATCAGTACAGCAAAAAGCACATCCCAGACAGTCCCCAGAAGAGCAGCAGTATTGCCATGATCTGAGCCACAAGCTGGCTGTCAGGGCTTCTCGACCTGTGGCCCTTCTCAGCCGAGCAGCACTGAGGGAAGGGCAGTGGATTGGAGGCCCAGTCTTATATTAACAGTAGCGAAGCTGCTGAGCTGCCTGGAGTCTTTGCACAGACATGATCCTGACCTCAGAGCTCAGTCCAGACTCTCACCTGGGTCCCCTGGTGCAGGCTTGCTCGGCTGTTTCCCTGCGGAGAAACAGGTCAGCGGTGAGTGTCTCTGAGAGCACCGGCACGCCGCAGTCCGCACGGTGAGCTCTCATGGCAGGAGCCCAGGGTGTGGAAATGTGTGTTCCACCAGACAGAAGTTCGCTTTTGGTTTTTAGATGACATAAACATTTATTATGAGATGTTTCGGTTGTTAGAACTCACCGGTATCAGATGAGGTATCGTCACTCCCTGGTTTGTCTAAGACATTAAAAAAAGTAGAAGTTAAAACTGCGCATAAAAAACAAGTCAAAAGATCAATTCAGTGCTGTCCCCCCCCAGAGGAAGGGAGGGGTTCCCCACTCCAGGGGCTCTGCGCTCCTGCAGACCTGGCCTCAGCAGCTGGGGTCGGCCCTCCACTGGCTGCTCCAGCAGGTCGCCCAGGAAGTGCTTCAGCGCCGCCGCGGCCGTCTGGCAGGACAGCACCTGCTTCGAGTCGATGTGGATCCGGGGTGTGTAGGGGTTAAAGGTCACGACTTTGGGCAGTTCCACCATAGTCTGAAATAGAACAACAATAAACTGAGCAAACAATCAAACACAGGCGCCTCTTCCAGATAGCACAGGGCGAGACGGGGGGGGGGGATGGGCTGGGCCTGGAAGTGGGAGCAATAAGGAGCCAGAGAATCTGGGATAATAATTCCTGTAGTTCTGCGTTGCAGTTTTCTAAATTTCACGGCTCTTTCCACGGGCTGCTTCTAGCAGGATGAAATCATTTCAAATCACCCTCTTTTGAACACATCAGTCATCTGAATGAAACGCCTTTTCAACACGCATATATATTTACTATCGTTGCTGTTAGATGTTTACAATTTCTCAGTTCAAATTGCCGTGCAGGATCTCCAGACGCAGTGCTGTAAAGCCAGTGGCACGAGGCTGGCGGCCCCACCTGCAGGAAGCTGATCTTGTGCTTCTGTGCCAGCAGGGCCTCCACGCGGCCCTTGGTGCTGGCCATCTCCTCCACGTTCATGCTCATCCTCTGCATCAGGCCCAGGATGCGGGTCTGGGCGCCTTCCTGCTCGTGATCCACAGCCCTCAGGGCCTCTCGCTCATCCTTCTCCAGCATCTCCTTCATCTGCCGGTACAGCTCCGCCAGGACCTTCTTCCTGGACTCCGCGGACTCCTGGACACCAGGAGAAGCCGACAGAGAGAGGAAAAGCTTGGTCATCGCGAGCAAGGCAGGGCCTGAGAGCGGAGGGGACTGCAGGTGTCTGGGACTCCCCGGCCCCTGGGGCCCTTCAGGAAGCAGGTGGACGAGACCCAGGGAGCAGTGAGCCACTCGCAGCCAAACAAGCAAGACTTGCCGAATCTTTCTGATCTTCTCTCGGTGTCTTTAAGCAGCTCTGCATTGAGAAATAACATGATTTGAATTTGTAACTGAATTTATTCGGGCTTGAGCAAGAGGGGATTCGACTCAAAAATTCAAAGGTGCTCAGAGAGCTTGGTGGGCTGTCAGCCAGGGGGACAATCTAAGGACGAGGGGCCGCAGGTGGCGGGCGAGAAGGATGTGTACAGTATCCAGCTCATGGCAGGACACTCCTGTAACATCGGCACACCTCTCTGCCACGTACACGTCTGCAGGCAGGGAGCAGGATTGTTTATCACCTGCACCCTAGAAACGGCTCAGAAACATCCTCCTGAAACTGGTCTCTAGGGAGATGAGTCACGCACCGTCGTGCAGGCTGCGTCACGGCCGAGCACCACCCTCGTGTGCTCTCCAAGACCAACCTCCTGGGCGGCGTGAATATACAGTATATCCAATGACTTCAGTGAAAACTGGTCTGGGACTGATACAGTACAGTGGGATTCCAGGCCCTGACGGCCGGAGTCCAGAATGTTCTCTAGGTCTCGTCACTGAGCGGCAGGGTTCGAGCGGTAGAGGGGCTGAGGCTGTCGAAGAGAAACGCCGAGCTTGGCTGGACAGTGACTGAGCACCAGCCGCCCCACAGGCTCACAGTCCAGCAGAGCCAGTGGAGACAGAGTCCGGCTGTCAGCTGTAGCCTGTATACTCTTCCTCTGCATTGTGGCAACTTGACAGTATTAAACAAGGTGTTACTGCATCAAAATCTGCCCCTGTCCTCTCCCCTCTCCCCTCTGCCCCCTGTCCTCTGCCCCCTGCCCTCTGTCCTCTCCCCTCTGCCCCCTGACCTCTCCCCCCTGTCATCTGCCCCCTGTCCTCTGGCCTCTGCCCCCTGCCCTTAGTCCCCTGTCCTCTGCTCTCTGTCCTCTCCCCCCTGTCCCCTGTCCCCTGTCCTCAGTCACACTCACCCGGACAGAGCTCTGCAGCTCCTTCATCTGTGAAACGACGGTCTGGGTCTTCTCGATCTTCTCATTCAGCAGAGTCAGCTTCTCCGTCAGCTTCGCCTGTGAAGCAGGAGACAGGGCGCGGTGAGGAGGAGGAGGAGGAGGAGGAGGAGGAGGGGGCTCCAGCGGGGGGCGCGGGGCCGTACCTCCTGCTCCGCCCGCTGCTCCTGCGGCGTGGAGAAGCGGCAGGGCTTGTGCGTGAGCTGCAGGCAGAGGCTGCAGATGGCGCGGCGGTGCTGCAGGCAGAAGAACTCCAGCAGCTTGCAGTGCTCGGCGCAGAGGCGCTCCTGCAGGTCGGCCAGCGGCGCGCCCAGCTGGTGCGCCTGGAAGGCGGGGCTCTCCTGGTGGGGCCGCACGTGCTCGGGGCAGAAGGAGGCCATGCAGGTGAGGCAGGTGTTGCAGGCGCGGGCCTGCAGGCAGGTGTCGCAGAGCACGGACTCCGGGTCCGGCTCCGGCTCGTCCCCCTGCTCCGGCTCGTCCCGGGGGCCGGCGGCCGGCTGGGCCCTGGTGAAGGTGTCCACCACGGTGCTCAGCACGGTGTTCTTGCGCAGCTCCGGCTTGGTGTAGAAGTGGGTGCGGCACTGCGGGCAGTTGTAGCCCAGCGCCACCTGCTGGCTCTCTTGCCAGGTGGCCTCCAGGCAGCCCCGGCAGAAGTTGTGGCCGCACGGGGTGGTCACGGGGCTGTCGAACGTGCTCAGGCAGATGCTGCACACGAGCTCCTCCGCGAGGCTCAGCAGGGGCGACGCCATGTCAGCGCGCGGGTGGGGTGGTAGGGTGGGGGAGGCGAGCGCGTCACGGGTGCGTCACGGGCGAAACCTGCAGAGGCCGGGCGGAGGCAAGCCGGAAACGAAAACGAAACTTAACTGGAGCTCCCGAAGCGCAAACCTGGCAACGCAGAAGAGGCGATTACTCTTTCTACGAGTTACGATACTCTTTTTTTTTTTACCCTTAGGCAAGAAAAACTTCAAGACGAATAAAACAAAACATCAAATGGGCTATAATGCGTTTAAAAATGACTACATTAGGCCGCCCCTCGCTGTTATGGGCTCCAGTCCGTGATCTCGAATAACAACGCATTTTAAAGGTACTATAAACAAGACCGAGAGAGCAGACTGGTTGTCTGGAATCACTACATAGGCTCGACTGTGCGTGACATGAAAAAATACTTTTATACCCGATACTTAAGATGACTTTTTTACTCTACACGTCATTCCAGTTGTTCTGATCGCTATATATATACATATTTAAAGCGTGCGAAGGACAGCCTATCCGCCAGAGCTCACCGGGAGCGGCTGCGTGGAGGTCTTACCTGCACACCTGCGCGGCGAGACTGCGACTGTCCTCTGCCGGGCCGCCTGCGCGCGGGGCTGCGGGTCCAGCCGGTGCGCGCGACCTGCGCTCGCGAGGGCGAGATCCGCGGGTACGGCGCGCGAGCAGCGAGGCTGTGTCTGCAGTGTGTCCGCAGCGGTGTTCCTGATTCGCTCTCTCTCTCTCTCTCAAGCGGCGCCTCCACAGGTTCGTCTTGCGCGGTTTCAGCGTGTCGCGCAGGTGCGGCAGCTCTTCAGTGGAGGATGACAGGGGTCCCTCTGGCCAGACGAGTCGTCAAGACACTTACAATCGCATCCAAGCTGGATGCAAAACATGCAAACAGCAGAAATGCCGATGCTACATTCATGCTTAATATAGTTATGGTGACTGAGAAATGTACCTTCTACTCGTGCCTGTGTGTCTGCGTGTGTCCAGCGATGGGTTCTGGACCCTGTGCCTGGATAGTCTCTGACCCCCCTCAGCCCTGCACTGGACGGAGCAATTAGAAAATGGATGGATGTACAGTCCCAGGGAAAACTAAAAACAGCAAGAAAACGCTGCCGAGACTTGAACAAGTGACACGCCTGACAAGTGACAGCCAGGGAAGCTGTTTGTGCCCGAGCCCTTGATATGTTTTCATCCTGCCACTTCCGAGCTGCTTCTTCCACTGCAGAGGCTCAGGGGAGCCGGAGCCTATCCCAGCAAGCACTGGGCACGAGGCAGGATACCCCCGGGACACACACAGACACACACTCACACCAGGGCCAATTTTCCCAGAAGCCAATAAACCCACCAGCATGTCTTTGGACTGTGGGAGGAAACTGGGGCACCTGGAGGAACAAGGAAAACCTGGGGAGAACATACAGACTCCACACAGACAGCTCTGGAGTTGAACTGCAGTTACCTAAAGCAGCACATTTCCGAACCACTTCCTCCAGTCCAGAGTCATGGAGGAGCTGGAGCCAGTGCCCGATTTCCCAGGAGGAGGGAAACGCTAGTGACTGACGAAAAACGAGCTGAAACAACCTGCTTGCGATCGACTCCAGGAGCTCCAAATCAATAACTATCCGCTCTCTAGCAGCTAGTCTAGAAACTGAAGTATCAGAGTGATGGTCGCTCGACTCCGTCAGTCATGTGGTTCAGCATGAGAAGAGTTTAAAGTGCATCATGTCAGTCAACGTCATTCAACTGGCGTGTCCCCCTCCTTCTGCACGTATCAGAGTGAAAGTGCCCGGGGCCAGAACACCAGGAAAACAAGAGGCACAAGGCAGAGGACAACTGGACAGAAGATGAGATGAGATTTGTAAAAAAAACATCTTTTATTATCTTTACCAACAGTTTTAAAGCATTGTTCTGGAAATTAAAAAAAAACATTGTTTTTGGTACTTCCTCTTGACTCGCGAGCGCACTGAAACAGAGAAGGCAGCGGGAGTGGGAGTGGGTAGCAGTGGTCACAGTGGGTAGCAGTGGTCACGGTCAGTGGACATGATTGTCTCCGGCGATGGCCCCGTTGCCCTTGGCCCGGGTCACTCCTGCTGCGTCACCATCTTCAGCATCTCCAGGGCCATCCCGCCCTGGTCCGAAGGGATCTGAGAGAGAGGCGCGCAGTGAGACTGGGCCCGCGGTGCACCTCAAGTCTGACCAGGGGTGTCCAGTCTAGGTCCTGCAGGGCTTTAGTTCAGGTCAGCTGTTATTGACCTCTATCAGCTCACTATTGGCTTAACTGGACCAATTGAACAGCCTCTTGCAACCTGCTCTTCAGGTGGCTCTGCTTTAAAGAGGCCTAGAACAGCCTAGACAGGACCCCCCCTCTCCCCTGGACACCCCTGAACTGACCCCTCACCTGCTGACCCCTGTGTTCTGTCTATTTAACTTAAGTTTGGTTTCCAGACGAGAAACCTTTCCAATGACCTTTTGTAATCTTTTGTGTGGGGATTATAGCCTGGTGAGTTTTCTTTAACGCGTGTTCAGTCAGAAAATGTTCAAGCTTGTTTTGTTTTGTCAGTCAATCATGATTTAAAAACAGTACAGCAATGTTAACGCCATGTTTAACCGTGGGCTGGGCAGGGGGGATGTTATCACACCATCAGGGTGCCTGTGCAGTGTTACCATGTGTCCGGCCTTGAGGATCCAGTAGAAAGCGAAGTTCTGGTAGGTCTTGTAGAAGGCTCCCGTCTGGCCATGGGAGGCGGGGTCATCCACAGCTGTCCATCTCATCTTACTAAATGCAGGAAGTCCCGCCCACTTCAGCCTCTTCACCCAGGCCTCCTGACCTGCCAGGAACACAGCACACAGCCCCGTCACTGGCACTCCACGACCTCACCCAGGGGCAGCTGCTGCCGCGGGCCACACCTCCTGTACGGGAAGCTACTGCTGTAGTGCCTGAGGTTAAGGGCTCATTACCAACAGGCTGGTTCTCAGTTCAAGCCCAGGCTGTGCCTCTGATTCGGTGTGTCACCCTGAGCCAGTGACTGCAGGCAGGACCCACTCTCCGTGACACCCCTCCAGGGCACCACTGAACACCCCTGAACTGGTCATTCTCAGGGGAGAAACACCCAGGTCTCTGCAGCACCAGATTGTCTCCCTTGAAATAAACCAATTATTCTTCTGCCACTCATCCTCATGAGACAAGCTTGATCACACACCGTTTTGAAATGTAAAACAGGCAGAGGTGAAGGACTGTGGCGTTTCTATGCTGTCTGTGCTCCTGCTTGGACACCAGTGTTCTGGGCACTAATGACAGGCTCTTGTCTTGCTCCTGCTCCTCGGACCATCTGTGTGGTGTGCAAACTCAGGGCCATACCCATGGTGTCCACGATGAGGTCCAGCTGTCCATTGTAGACAGTCACATTGACCCCGGCTGCCAGAAGCTGGTCCACTATGTCCACCACTGGCTTCATGAAGTCCCCCTCCATGCTGACGAAGACGTCCGAGGCCTGACCTGGGGAGACAGGCACATGGGTATGTGTCCCTGCAGACTGGACCAGCGTGACCTGTGACCACGTGCTGTGCAGGAAGCCCTGGGAGACACCTGTCCCACTGCAGGAGCCCACTGGAGAAACCACTGCTGCCCAGCCAGGATCCTGCAGGACCCTCAAGCCACGGCAGGCAGGGGTCGCCTCCTGTCCCACCAGTGCGCTGGGAGGTGGGTCTCTGCTGCGCCCCTCACCAGCCCGGACCCCTCTGACAGAGACGCAGCCCCTCAGTGCGCCCGTCTCTGCTGGTCCAGCTCACCGTCACGGTCACTACGGTCCACAGACGCTCACGCACTGTAATTCAGATCCCGAGCGATGGTCGTGTCGGGCAGGTCATTAGGGGATCAGGCGATCCCAAAGACCCTGTGGATCCCCCGCGTGGGGAAACAGGAGCAAACACACGAAAACAAACTGCAAACACAGGGAAGGGAAGCGCAGAGCGAGACCGGGGGTCCCTCGGCTGGCCTGGCACGTACCTCCCCAGGTGACCCTGCTGGGAATGATCTTGAGCTTGTCTCGGATGGGCCCGTTCATCAGCTGGCTGAGCGTCTGTCCGTGCAGCGGGCCGAGGCAGCGGCGCTGCAGGGAGACTGCGGGAGACAGCGGGAGCGGGGCTGAGCGGCCGGCGCGCGGAGGGAGAAGATCGGCGGCCGCCAAGAGCACGAGCGCACGACGGGTCTCGGGGATCTGACACCGCGGCGCCGGCGTCGGGCTGGAGTGTGTTTAAAGACACGTTAGGGTGCCATTGTCAGTCTTTGTGCCCACAGTGCCCAAGAGCAGCCCAGAGCTCACTCTCCGTCAGGAATGAAGACCCCAGGGCGGGCAGAGGCTCCCCTGACTGCTGGAGGCGATCTGGGAGGAAGAGAGCCCCCCCTCAAGAGGAGCAAGGGCTCAACACGGCAGGAAACCCGGCACTCGGGAGAAAAAGAAAGGCTCGTTTTTACCACGGTATCCATTTTTTGCCACAGCCTTCCGTGCCTCATCGGGGTCCTGGGTCAGGATGTTGTAGAAGTTCACCCCGTTGGTGTTCTGAAAGGGCAGGACAGGGTCCAGAGTGACCGAGCGCTCCTGTCCACCGGGGAGGTCATGACCGGACAGGGGCAGGGGCAGAGCTGGACCGAAACTGCCCCCAGGGTAGCCTGCCACAGCTCAGACAGGAAACTAAAAGTTCAACTACGACTTGAATGGTGAATGGGTGCCTAATCTGACCCACAGCCCTGCCCGCCCAGTGGGCGACTCGCTAAGTGTGCTGGATCATGCCAGACCTCTTCCCTCCTGCTTGAAGAAAGCAGTTGTTCCACTGGGAGAGTGGATCCTGCACCGCCTCCAGGGCCGTGTGAGCACGGCCCGCGCCCCTGCTCCCAGAGTGCCGTGTGAGCTCGGCCCGCCCCCCTGCTCCCAGAGTGCCGTGTGAGC